TCGTCATACAGCTGAAATATTGCTAAGTGCGGCGTTATACAACTAACAAACAAACAAAACTTTGAGGAATTCACAACAATCACTATGACGAGGTATGCATATCTTGCAATCAACCTGAATCCAGTTACTGCAATGTCAAACCCGGGCTTGGTTAAAACAAGAATTGCAGTTAGATCCGCTATATGCTGTAGATCTCCTGTAGTCAAGAGATGCAATAGCGAGGCAGAACTATGTCAATTTGTGAGGGACACACAGCTACTCGAACATATAAAAACATAGCAGCCAAAGATAAAAATGAAATCATATCATGTACGAAAATAGAAATCATATCAACACAAAAAGAGAAAGTGTATGAGTACTAAAACTTGCAATAGATATGTGTACCCTACGTACGCACATGAGTCACATTCGACAGTCTGCAACACACTGACATCGCATCAAATATATTTGTGTACCGATTACATAACTCTTACTGACAGGGTGGGGTGGTAGTTCACGCGAAACGGACGACACTGTGTAAATTGAGCGGCTCCTTTGATATCGCCTCACAACATACTTTTAATGAATGACCAATTAAACGATGATACACATCAGGATCGCGGAGAAAATACAAGATTCGTTCTCGTTGAGTATATATATCAAGGCACCAATTCATCTTTCATAAACTTTTTGTGTCTTTGTGCTTAATATATCCACATATCAACGAAAATATGTAATACATGTATCCACAAAAAATATACATGTATGTACAGGCTATATATTTGCCCACAGCAACACCTGCATAACTGTTTATTCACGCGTGGTGTGGCAGATTGTAATTGACCGAGAGCAAGTATTGTAGAATCACCAGTAAATAAGGCCGACACTGTAATTAGACACAACGTACTAATGAGAATATGAGAATTATTATAAGAAGGCTGTTGCGTTTTTCTTAACTATTACCATTTTCATACCAAAAGTGACAATGCAGTTAAAAGTTGCTTTAGTGTCACAATATTCACTCACGTTTTCCTCAATCGCATTGAAACATAATTCCCACTGGTCAGTTCGACACCGCATGTAATTAAATAATTATTTCGAGATTTCGTTAGAGTGTAAGATATTCAGCCAAACGTTATGCAATAAAAGACGAATAGTTTTTTCCATTAAAATACGCGCACGCGTAATTGCCCAGTGTGATGTATCAACGGGACATGAAATGGGAAATGAAATAGAAACTAACTAAACTTGAATGTTGTGGAAAATAACTCCAATGAATTGGAGTACACGCACATGAATTTGTATCATAAACTGTCAAAACGTTTCGAGAGGTAAGGCCGGATTCATTACAGATCGCTACAATATGTAAAACGGGTGAAATTTGTAGAACTTCTATCAAGGAAACATCCAACCAAATGCCCTTTTTAAATAGTAATGTAATGATATAATATAAAGTATATTTCACATGATACAATATACTTTGCACACAGTTAGTTGATGCTTTAAAGGGACTGACGAAAACATGGGCGAAATATTTTAATAACGCCGTAAAATAGTTGAATCATGTGTCATGCATGTAGACACACCTTTATGTATTTGCGAAACTAAAACTGTTTCGCAAATGAAGCAAATGAAAATATTCTCGCCCAGGGCGAAACATTTCAATAACGCCGTAAAATAGTTGAATTAAGTTAAAATTTGTTAAATTATGTGACATGAAACTTCTAAGAACACCTTTATGTATATGCGACACTATAACACAAGTTTTGAGCAAAGGGAAATATTCTCGCCCATGGGCCAAAACTTTTCTCGCCCATGGGTGAAATATTTCAATAACGCTATAAAATAGTTGAATTAAGAAAAATTGAGTTACATTATGTGCCATGAAAATGGTAAGAACACCTGCATGTATTTGCGAAACAAAAACATAAGTTTTGAGTAAAGGAAAATATTCTCGCCCATGGGCAAAACCTTTTTCTCGCCCATGGGCGAAATATTTCAATATCGCTATAAAATAGTTGAATTTAGTTCAAATGAGTTAAGTTTTGTGTCATGATACTTGAAAGATATACATATATGCATTTGCGAAACAAAAACATGAGTTTTGAGTAAAGGAACATATTCTCGCCCATGGGCCTGCCCATGGGCCAAACCTTTTTCTCGCCCATAGGCGAAATATTTCAATATCTCTATGAAATAGTTGAATTAAGTTAAAATGACTTAAATTTTGTGTCATGATACTTGAATAAATACATTTAATGTATTTGCGAAACAAAAACATGAGTTTTGAGTAAAGGAACATATTCTCGCCCATGGGCCAGTCTTCGCTCATGGGCCTGCCAATGGACGAGATAGTGTAAATATTGAGTTTTTGAACAATTTGTTTTTCATGTTTTCTTCCTTGGTATGTTCCAATGAAAAACAGCATGTTTAATTATGTAAATACCTTTGACCGAGAGTCGGCAAAGACCGTAGAGTTTCTGGACTTTTGGGTTTCAAGAATTAAAATGGGACGTGTTAGTTGCAATGTTGGAGATCCAGTCCCATCACGTTCCTTCTCTGCTACTGGTGTCATAAATAAGTTTGTTTTTCCTTTATATTTGGCGCTAGTTGTTTATACTATACACGAGCATGTCTGATCAAATATCAGAAGAGGACATTTCGCAACTTTTTGAGCAGCTAAGTGTCATATGACTTGTGGAGATACGAAGTGGATTGCACATTCAAGGACAAAGCACATTCAGGGGCGACAATCGAACATTCCCTCAGGAAATCGTTGAGAGGGGAGGCAGCCAGAGTTGCTATACGATTAGGTTCCACAGCTTCTCTTTCATCGCTTTTAGATAAGTTTAGGTGTGTTTTTGACACTAGCGATTCTCCCGTTAACGTATTGGCAGCCTTCTACACAACACGGCAGCGGAACGATGAGGACGTCAACACTCGGTGTTGTCGTCTAGAAGACCTACTTAGTGAGGCTGTAGAAGCTGGTGAAGTTAGCTATCAAGACACCAACAAGCTCCTTCATTCCATGCTTTGGACAGGACTCAAGCCATCAAACAAGGATGTCACCCAAACACAAATTTGATCTATTCTCCGGTTTTGATGTTTTGCGAAGAGAACTGCGGCTGATTGAGCGGGAACACAATCTACGCAGAGGTGGAGGAAAGGTCCAAAGTAAACAGTCTGCAACAAGTATGGCGGCTGTTATTGAGACAACCATCCAAACAGAGTTGAAGTAACTTCGAGGAATGATCAAGAGCCTTACTTCTGAAGTTGCATCTCTTAAGAAACAACAGCAACAGCCACCACAGGATGACTTTCAACAGCCTACAGGAGAACAAGTTCGCTTTCAGTCAAAGGCAAATGAACAAACAGACAGGAACAACACTGGATGGTATCCTCAATCTTCTTTCAAGACGCAACGGTATGACCAGACACCACATAGAGGCAGATCTAGAGGACGACCGTTTGAGAGAGATGTACAGTGCTTTCGCTGTGGACAGTTGGGACACATAGCGTCAGGATGCAGGGTCAGGATGGACCACAGTCGTCAGCATTTAAACGGGAGATGGCCTATGCGAAGGGGTGGCCCATTGGTCTCAACAAACAACAGACTGACACAGAGAGGTATGATACCCAAGCACTTGTAGGAAATGCCAATGAAGTCGATGTCTGCATTCAGGGAATCAAGACAATAGCTTTATTAGACACAGGAGCTACAGTCTCCACGATGAGTCAGGCATTTTATGATCAATATATCTCTAGTATTTCTATCACCCCCATTACAAGTGTTTTGGAAATTGAATGTGCTGATGGACAACCCCTTCCATATACAGGTTATATTGAGGTTGACATTGAGGTCAACGGTATTGATGCTGATACCTTTGAAGAACATTTTGACATGTTGAAGAAGGTATTTAAGAGACGCAAAGACTGTGGATTCAAGCTTGCTCCAGATAAATGTAGTTTCTTCAAGGACAAGATAAGTTTTTAGGTCATATCATCAAGGCATCGAACCAGATTCAGCTAAAGTTGAAAAGATAAAGACATGGCCCCCAAATGAATCCAAATGAAGTAATACAGTTTCTTGGATTTGCAGGGTATTATCGAACATTTGTGCAGAACCTTGCTGCAATCACCAAGCCCCTGTCAAGTCTTATGCCTCCACCAACGCAGACAAAGAGAACAAGCAAGAAATTGAGTCCACAACCATGGACAAAGGGACATGAGCAAGACAAGGCATTCCATTACTTGAAAGAACTTCTGGTTTCACCTGCTATTCTGGCCTATGCAGATTACAGTCTACCATTTGAGCTCCATACAGATGCCAGCACACATGGACTTGGCGCTGTTCTCTATCATGAGCAGGGTGGACAGAGATTACCTCTATGGCACCAAGTTCAGAGTCTATCAGCCGGTGGTCTCACACCAGTACAGGTACCTCCACAATGGAACGTCTTATTTCAGAACTGTTTGAAGTTCTGGTGGACGCTGAATGATGGTATTCATCTTCGGCTCTTGATGGTACATTTACTCTCTCACATATATTGTTTCACTGATATTGGGACTGTATCATGCATATCACGCATACAATCTCACTGATACTGAGACTGTATCACGCATACAATCTCACCTGTATTGACTCACATAACATACTGTCTCACTGATACTGAGACTGTATCACGCATACAATCTCACCTGTATTGACTCACATAACATACTGTCTCACTGATATTGAGACTGTATCACGCATACAATCTCACCTGTATTGACTCACATAACATACTGTCTCACTGATACTGAGACTGTATCACGCATACAATCTCACCTGTATTGACTCACATAACATACTGTCTCACTGATATTGAGACTGTATCATGCATACAATCTCACCTGTATTGACTCACACAACATACTGTCTCACGTATACATACACAGATGGTCTCAGGCTTACTTTCTCACGGGACACTCTGACCAAAGTGAACTTATTCATCACCTGATATCCATAAAAGAACACTGAATTCATTATATTTTTTTAATTACATTTTATACGCTGTTTCGACTTTACATTTGTCTACACGGTGCTTCAAAATACATACTGAACATTAATGTAAAACAATATTAATATCAATATGATCAAACGTCAACGCATTAATACGTTCAACAGCAGCAATAAACACAAGATGCAAACTATGTAGACTTGAATATCTCCGTCACATTCAGTCCAACTTCAGTGAACCTTTTGTGCGATCCACAAACTCACTATTACCGTCTTTCCTGCAATAAAAATACAGAAAGGGTTCATTCTATTACTTCATAAATAACCCAGGCTAGCCCTAAATTAAGGATAACACTAAGAAGTTTATGAGGTTACATTTGCCAAAACGAGAGAACACTTATTCCGAAATCTCCGTGAACATACGCAACACGGCGCTGGTTTGTAGTGTTCTGCAGTTAAACTGCCAAACATCCGTGGATAGTTTGAGATTAATTCGCGAATAACTAAAACCAGGCTTAATCTAAATCCACGAAGACACAGTGTGAATGGATTGCAGATAAATAAACACTTTTGGCATGATATTAATGATTAACTTCATTGTGTCTCTTGCCTTGTACAGATGTGTATGTACATGCATATGCATGTGGAGGTCTGATAGATATCGCTGTGGCAATGGTGTTATCACTGTTGATATATGTACCTGGATGAACTACACATTTGGAGAGACATCCTAATCAGTGTGATCACAAAGTTGCTAACCTGACGTGCATTACCCCTACCAAGCTGATAATTATATAGGCTTTGTTTGTTTGTTTAACGCTGCACTCAGTTATATATTACAACGGTCTGTAAAAAATCAAGTCTGGACCAGACAATCCAGTGATTGACATCATGCGCATCGATATACACAATTGGGATAGTATATGATGACATAAATAAACCAAATCAGCGCGTCTGACCACCCGATCCCGTTAATCGCCTCTTACGACAAGCAGGAGTTACTGAAAACCAATTCAAAGGCGAATCTTCACGGGACAAGTATATATGCATTTGCATCAGGTACATTAACTTTATTTCCATGTTATTTATATTAAAACCAAATATTAACCATGGACCCATCTGTGGTTTTCATTTGCTTAGTGCTACATTGATTCAACAACGTTCTACATGTACTGTGCAGGATACAACAATCAGGCTGATGGCCAATAAGAAAGCTAAATACCTTGTATTATTTTGTGATTAAGAATTGACTTTCATTTTGTGTGAGTTCATTGAAATATGAACCTTCGTAGAGTGAGGGCCAAACTGTATAAATGCCGGAGCATGTGAGTATGCCATCTCCTTTCGAAATGGTATCAACAGAGTACTTCAAATTAAGTAGATATGTACCGAAACGCTTTGAAAACCAACCAAGTATAATTGACGCTAAACTAACTGATATGTGGTGCAAGATCTTTCGTACGATCTCACTCGGGTCAATTAGCTGAATATAAGTTGTAACAACCTCATTGGAAAGAACACAATGTAATTGAACAGTACAGAAAACACACAAGAGGTCAAAAGACAAAGTCAGTATCGGGTATGACAACCTCTGGTTGCAATGCATACTACACAACCCCGCTCTCGTGGACCTTTGAACAGCAGGAGCTGTGCTCCGTGATGATATCTGATCCCGCCCATACCATCCAGGCCCCAAAGGTTAAATTTCTTACCAAGAAGCCATATGGCTACAAGTAATTTTTTTCCAGGTAGCCAGTGGTAAAATCAAGAAGCCAATATTGTAGGTAGCCAAAAGCATTTGAAATGATCTTTTATCAAAGAACTATTATAATATGTACAAGTTACAGCACTAGTCTTGGAATTGTATATTAGTGGACACTGTACTTGATAGTATTACTTGTGACTCGAACAATGATGCAATTTATGTTACTAGATTATATAGGTAGAGCCTTGCTTATCAAATGACCATTGTCAATTAAAATAGAGTACTAATTCAGTAGAGGCAATAATAGGCAGACTTGTTTTCCAAGATCAGCTGCTATTTATTTTTGTGTCTCCAGACGTGCAGCAATAGAATTTAGTCGCCACAAGATATTTGTCAAGGTAGTCATTTGGCTACCTCTGAATTTTAGACAGTAGACAAAATAAAATGTAGGTCAAATTCGCGACCGTTTTAGTCGCAACTTTGAGGCCTGCCATCACACTTCTCCGGTCTCCACATTGTATCCTCGGTGCTGAGGATAAGCTACAGTGATAACTTAGGTGGCCTTTGAATACCTTCACTTTATCCCCATGTCTGCACGAAAAAAGCCCCTTCGAACGTTTGATACTCTGCACGAGAAATAACGTGTTTTTGAGAATGGTCCTTGGTGTGTTTGTGGTGACTCTCCAAGGATATCAACTCTTAAAACCGTTAAGTGTCTCAAACTCCAAACATTACGGGTTTTCAATGTTCTATCACAGATATTGTGACAGTTTCATTCATGTTGGTTCGTTTTCAAAGCGGGTCAGTGTAGTATTGCATAAAACCTGATTACTCCAAGATAATTGTGGGGACCGTTTATTGACACTGTTGATTAATAAGGTTTACATAGTTACTTTCAATCATTTGCTAATTAGAATTGTTAGCACTATTTCATAACTATTTGTAATGTCTTGTAGTGACACTTTTACTAGGATCTGTCATGAGTTTTGGATGTAAGCATTGATTCATCTATGCTGTGGTATACAGATTACAACTTTCCCTATTCTAGCCACCGCACACACGCACACACGCATACACACACATACACTCATACATACATATAGGATATTTATCTACACTATCGTGCATGTTTGAATGGAAACACATTGTATATGTATAACTTTTATATGCATGATAATCTATATATCATTCCTAATTTGGCAAAAAGTCAAAATCTGCACGATAACCGATAGAATAATTCTCAATAAATCAGTATCAGTAAACAATGTCTCGATTTCACAAATGACACTTATTACCATCAACGAATCGACTGACTTACTGTTTAATTGTTTGTTTGTTTGTTGTTTAACGCCGCACTCAGCAATATTCCAGCTATACGACGGCAGCCTGTAAACCAGACAATCCAGTGATTGACATCATGAGTCTCGATCCACGCAATTGGGATAAGATGACATGCATCCACCAAGTCAGCGAGCCTGACCACCCGATCCCGTCAGTCGCCTCTTCGACAAGCATAGTCGCATTCTATGGAAAGCATGGGTTGCAGAAGACCTATTCTACCCCGGATCGTCACGGGTCGACTTTTTGTTAAAACGACGTTATTCGAATTCACGTCAACCATCGCATTATTAAATTAAAAACTTACTTGATAAAATATGTAACAAAGCCGTCCTCCTTGGATAACGCTCCGATCTGTCTTGCCGACACGCATATCTTGTCAGTCTGTAATAAAATTCATATTCGTAAAGATAAAACATGTCGATTAATGCTGATTTACATTTTATCACATATGTTCCACGAAAGTTTATTGTTTCTTTCTGTATTAGTTGTTTAACCCCGCACTCACCAATATTTCAGCTATATGACGGCAGTCTGTAAATAATCGAGTTTGGACCAGACACTCCAGTGATTGACATAATGAGTATCGATCCATGCAATTGGGATAAGATGAAATGCATAATGCAGTCGTCACACTGTCCCGAAATTGACACCAGATGGACACACGATAAAGGAAATGTTCAAATTCGGCTCTGATCGTAAAAACATCGGGCCATTCGTGAGGGCATCTTAAGCCATCGTATGACCGTCGGTGGAGTGTCTCAGGCTCCGGTAGCACCTTCGTGAGCGGTGGCAAAACTTTGGCATGCCAAAAAATTGCCGAAAGACCTTGCGAAGGTTCATTTTCGTTTTGAATTCGTGTCTCCATTTTGCCCTTCGTAAGGCCATCGTGAGGGCATCTTGTCAAATCGTGTCATCTTCGTCTTTACTTCGTGTGCTCATCGGTGCCATCGGGCATTTTTCGCCCACGAAGACAATACGAAGGAAACAAGAAGCTGCCCGATTGTCTTAGGAAGGCAACACGACTACGTGAAGCCCTCGCAATGCCGTCGTGTAGCCATCGTATTATAGTACGATGACATCAGGGTGGGATGGGACCAGGGTGTCGGCGAAGACAGCCGAATTTGAGTAGCTCAAGCGTTTCCCATGTGTCATGGTAATCTGGACATGTAAAAGGCCAGCCTCAGAGCATCTTCCTCAGTCAGTCCTGAGCAACTCTACAGAGCAGAGTCGTGTATAACTCCCAAAGCGTCAAATATAATTAATCACAATTCAGTTTCTGCAGAATGGCATACTTTGATGATGTGACAACCAGGAAAAAGAAGGCAGCAGCATTTCTTCTTTTGATGCACCTCAGAGAACGTGATAGGCAACTCTTACAGGCCCAGCACCTCCTCTTACAGGTAAAAATTGTCTTATTTCACTTTGTCATTTCTTGCTATTTGCACAGACTTCGTGGTCTAGTGGTAGAGCGTCCGCCCGGAGAGCGGAAGGTCCGGGGTTCGATCCCCGACCGCATCATACCAAAAGACTTTAAAATATGGTACTTGTTGTTTCCCTGTCTGGCGCTCGGCATTAAGGGGCTAAAACAAGGACTGGTCGGCTCGGAGTCAGTATGCTGTGTCTGAGTGGGGTATTCATATTAAACTGCGGCATGGTATCTCAGTGAGCTAGCACTATAAATCGGCATCAGTCCAGACTAGTACAAGCAACCACACAAACACACACACGTACATGCACGTCGCTATATAAGTGCAATAATCTTGTACGCGACGTTAAACCCCATTTCACCTCACCTCTTGCTATTTGCCTTTCTAGCATTCGACAATGAATTTATCTTGTTTTGCTTTTTATTTTCCAGGTCAGGGGCAAACTGAGGCGAAGGTGGAAACCGAGGTCTATGTGGGTCAGGAAATGGCTGTCTGACAAAAGAAGAGAACGCTATGGTCACTATAGCTCTCTACTAAATGAGCTGAAGACAGAAGATGAGAAGGCCTTCTACAACTACACAAGACTTCCCAGAGGCCTCTACGATGAGGTGCTGCGAAGGGTAGAAGGCAGAATAGAGAAGAAGCACACATGGTACAGAAAGTCTCTCCCTCCTGGTCTCAAGCTGTCGAACAATTATCCAAGCCCGCCTACAACTTCAGAGTTGCTCCAAACACCATCTCCCTCATCATTAATGAAGTCTGCGATGCGATCAAAGCTGAGTTTGCTGCTGAGGTGATCCAGTGTCCTACTACAACTGAAGAGTGGATCGCCATTGCTGAGCAGTTTGAGAAGAGATGGCGATTTCCACACTGCTGTGGTGCTCTTGATGGCAAGCATGTGGCGGTCACCTGTCCTTGGAATACTGGCTCTGTGTACAGAAATTACAAGGGCTTCTTCTCCATTGTCCTCATGGCCCTGGTCGACGCAGACTACAAGTTTCTATGGATTGATGTCGGCTCTGATGGTTCCAGCAACGATGCCAGTATCTACATGTACAATGGGTCAGAACTGAAGGAAGGCCTGGAGAGTCCAAACAACATATACAATCTCCCTGAAGAGAAGTCTCTACCTGGTGATGACGTTCCTGTCCCATGCTACATAGTAGCACCCGTTTTCAAACAGAAACATGGAGCACCATGAGAGAATATTTAACTACAGACTCTCCAGAGCCAGGCGTGTAGAATAGAATGCCTTTGGCATTCTGGCACACACATTCCAAGTTTTGCTGAGGACCATGAACCAGAGGCCAGAGACATGCAGAAAAATCATTACAACTTGTGTGATCCTTCACAATCTCATCTGACTGAGATATCCAGCCACCCACAACAACCTGATGGACTTGGAGGACCAGAACCAGAATGTCATCCCAGGGGCATGGGGAAATGACAAAGTACTTCTGAATGTTTACCATGAGAGGGCAAGGAACACTGGAACCCAGGAGGGGAGGCAAATTAGAAGATACCTGGGCCACTACTTTACCTCAAAGGCTGGTTCAGTGCCATGGCAGGACAAGATGATCATGTAATTATTCCCACAAAGCAGTGACAGTAAAATGAATACAGAGACACTAACATTGTGATGATGAACAAATTATTTTCACATATTGCATTTTAGTTTAAAGCAAAATGTGTATGGAGTAATAAATTTTGTTTTTGAAATTTTGATTGAAAATACTTGTTCTTTTTTCGACTTATTAATAAAATAAAGGCCCAACATTTAGATAGTTTAAAAATCTCAAGTTTCCAAAATGTAAAGTCCCATACTACTTTAACATAGAAATTAAAATAAGTAAAGGATTTGTAAAGTAAGGATAACGGACCAAAAAAAGAACAAAGTGACAATTTTTATTGCATACAATCTCAAGTTTCTGTGTGATATTTGCCGCTGAGGAGGCTGAGAAGGAAGTTCGACGAATGCAGCCTTGCGAGGAGCAGGTACGTAGCCCTGAGTAGAAGTGCTGGCTGGCCTTACTTGGACAAGGACTGACATCTTTCTTGGATTTCCTCCCCCTTCTCTCTCTGGTTGGAGACTCAGTGGTGTCTTCTTGGACTTCTAAATCATCAGTTTCCTCTGCTTTCCTCTTCTGAATTCTTTATTTAACAGCCCGCTTCTTCCCTTTGCCTCTCCCTGCCTTGGGTGGCATGTTAAAGTTGAATCAGCAATTGAATTTCCCATGGTCGGCCGAAGGTTTTATATCATCGGGAGGTCACGTGACGGCTTCGTGAACGCGTTCGAACACATCGTACTCTCAATACGACGTCGTGTAGCCATCGCGTGGCCTTCGTGTGTCCTGCGGGTATAAACTACTATAAAAATTCTCATCTTCGTGTTGCCTTCATTTGTGGTTCGGGTGCCATCGTGTGACCTTCTGTAGGAATCGTACTTGACTCGCCTGTTGATTGGTGGTTGACCAAGTTCGGGGCCATCTTCGCGCGAAATTCAAAATCTCATATTCGTATGGCCATCTCGTGTTAATTTCGGGACAGTGTGACGCCTGCATAAAACCAAGTCAGCTAGCCTGAACACCCGATCCCGTTAGTCGCCTCTAACGACAAGCATAGTCGCCTTTTACGACAAGTATAGTCGCCCAGCCTTTTACGACAAGCATAGTCGCCCTTTACGGCAAGCATGGGTTCCTGAAGACCTATTCTCCACGGACCTTCACCGGTCCACGAAAGTATTACTCTTCATAGGAACCTTATTTAAAAACGTTGACTGCCTCTCAGATTTCTTGTTCTGTAAAACAAGTGTATGACAATAGCATGACAATAAATTGAATTAATTTGAACGACCTTTTTTCGGGTCTTACATTGGATTGACACAACTGAGGAGGTACGAATGTATGGTCAAAGGTATTGCAAGTAATACTGGCAATCCCGTGTTTATTCTGTGGTAGTATTTCCCCAGTATTTCATTCTCGTAGGAGTCGAGAAAAAGAGGTCAGACCCGATGACGTGGCAGATTGCGTGTCATCAAACACTCGATGTTTGAGTAACGTGGAGGCTCCTCGCGATAGAATTGTATTATGCACTTTTGCGCACATTTTTTTGTCAAGACTCATGATGAAAACGATGCAATCCACAGTATTCTTAAATCAGCCAAGGGTGTGGGACATAACCTCAATGTCAGTGTTGATTTTGTTGATGGTTTTGTACTGCTGGACGGTGCAGAAATGAGTGTCAACAAAGCGAAGTGCCATATCAAGGAGAGGCTTTTTGAACGACCACTGCATCGAGTTTATGTGCAGTGTGTTGAGAAGATCAGCAACCCTAGCGTCTTCGCTTGAATGAAGTCGACTGGCCAGAAAAGTGACAGAAGGTTTTCTGTTTGCTGCTCAGGACCAGCCACTTCCCACTCGAAACCGTCAATGCGTGATTTTGCATCAAAATGTAAAGAGAAATGCATATTATGCAATGAGACTGTCCCATACATTATCAGTGGATGCCCATCTCTGGCACAGACACAGTATCTCAAACGACATGATGGTGTAAGTCGATCATTTTGTTACCGTCTTCGCCATGCTTGTGGTACTGGGCGTCACGGAAAATGATAAATACACATTTTTGTGGAATAGGCCCGGTTACAGCATCAGACATCAAGGCCAACAAACCTGATCTTGTCCTTTTTTTGATAAATCCAAGAAATCAGTAAGTTATATTATTGAAGTTTTAGTTCCTTTTGACACTAATGTGATTGACAAGATTCGGGAAAAACATGGCAAATATGCGGACCCCGCTTTCGAAATGTCGCGCTTGCATCCCAAGTACCAAGTTGTCCGACTCCCCATTGTTCTCGGTGCCTTAGGTTTGGTACCTCCCAATATGTTGACTGACACTGGGAGAGTACCCGGGTTTGCTACCAGGAATACAGCCCCTCTGACAATCTGGGTAATTCAGAAGGCTGCAGTGTTGGGGAGTCTTCACATTCTCCGAAAAGTTCTGGGTGGGTTTGACAAGGCAGCTCTTCCTGGGAGAAGTCCCATTCGCTGTCTGGGCTGCGTGTAGGGGGGACAAGAGCCCTGAGATGATGATGATGAGCCTCACCTGACCGACTGTGTCAGGTTCACCCAAACTCTCTTTGCTGCATTTTTTATCTTAGATAATAATTATAATAATAATAAAACTAAAAATAATAATAATAATAATAATTGTTGCATTTTAATAACTCTAAATCAATACAGCATATGTTTATAGCCTGGCCAAGGGATCCGTTCAGTCTATCTGGCATGAAATCCCCACATCCCAGGGGGCTATAAGTAGAATTTGATGAAAACTCGTTCTCATGCCCTAGTTATGTAGGTAATTTTGTCGTTAAACTCATACTGACAAAGACGAGTGATGAGTGAACATCCCTTTGCAGACATATTACAGTCAGTTGGCTACTTTTTCAAAGACAGAAGAGTTTCGGTTGCACGTTTTTAGGCTCTTTGTTTGACACCAATGAAATCATATAACCCACATATCATATGTTACAGGCAACGGGTTAACCAATGACATGGCTTCAGTGAATGAAGACAATGTACATTGGTTGTTTCAATACTCGCCTTTTGAAATTCTTTGTCAAACGGAGATCCGTCGGGCTCCGTCGATCCGCTTGCACAATGTACACTGGTTGAAGATACACACATTAGTCGAGGAAACACACACACTAAATATCAGTGCGTAAACATTATTAGAATATGCGTCTAAAGTAAGAATCATGTTTGATTGTTTACAAAGTTTACAATGTTTAGTTTTTACCATTGAACTTTTCATGTCACCCCTAATCCAAGCGGCAAGTGTCACCAACAGCCATCAAATATGTTTTTAAAAATGTAATTTTAAGACTTGAAATGTATGGAGATATAATGCCGGTGAGCACACTGTAATCCGTGTAACATGCAGGTGATATTAGACAAACTGTTCAGTCTTATTCGTAGAGGGATTATTTCTTGTTACGAAGGATGGAAATAATAAAGAACGCGATGGATAATGTGACACCCGTTTCACTCCAGGGGGCACAGGTGGCCTAGTCGTCTCAGGCGCTGCAATTGCTGTGCAGAGTAGCGTCCCTTAGGCACGCCAGAAACCCTATTATTGTGGGTTCGAATCCCGGTTCGCCCCGATTATGTTTCTAGGTTTGTCAGCACCATACCCGTGCTCGTTGGATTCACCGAAGTGGTAAACGTCTGAGACCTGCATCACTTCGGGCTTTCCTCCCACATTAAGCTGACACGCCGTGATATAACTGAAATACTGTTAAAAGCGGCGTAAAACCCAACTCAATCACTCACGTTACACTCCAAGGCACTACTCACTGGAATGCTTCTCCTGGCTGCACACCGATTTTATCGAAAGTATTTGACTCATCCAAGACGTAGGGGATTTTGCCAGCAGCTGAAACACGAAACACGAATCTGATTAAACCGTCCACATCAACAACCTCATTTGCACATTTGACAATAATTATTACACTCAGGTCTTCGTTGTGTTTTTCAACGCCAGACGGTTTGTTTGACTGAATTATCACAAGTGCCGTTTAAAAGATAACGTTGATGAAAACAAGAGACCCTTTTTGTGCTCACGTCATCATCTTGTAAAAGTCGATTTCATGAGTTTATGAGCATGTCGGTAGTCAGTAGTGATTGGTTTTGGCTATACTAACAAACATTAACAGGCGTATGGTGTACAACTACTTGGCAACCACGCCGAAGACACGAGTCCTATTCCACCCATGGGAAGGTATGTGACGAACATTGTTGCAGCCATCTCTGTGCAACCGTCAAATATGTACCGACATGAGACAAGAACACCTACAGTATACCCATCAAATACTTACCCACATGAGACAAGAACACCTACAGTATACCCATCAAATACTTACCGACATGAGACAAGAACACCTACAGTATACCCATCAAATACTTACCGACATGAGACAAAAACACCAACAGTATATCCATCAAATACTTACCAACATGAGACAAGAACACCTACAGTACACCCATCAAATACTTACCGACATGAGACAAGAACACCTACAGTACACCCATCAAATACTTACCGACATGAGACAAGAACACCTACAGTACATCCATCAAGTACTTACTGACATGAGACAAGAACACCTACAGTACACCCACCAAATACTTACCGACATGAGACAAGAACACCTACAGTATACCCATCAAATACTTACTGACATAAGACAAGAACACCTACAGTACACCCATCAAATACTTACCAACATGAGACAAGAACACCTACAGTATACCCATCAAATACTTACCGACATGAGACAAGAACACCTACAGTACACCCACCAAATACTTACCAACATGAGACAAGAACACCTACAGTACACCCATCAAATACTTACCGACATGAGACAAGAATACCTACAGTACACCCATCAAATACTTACCGACATGAGACAAGAACACCTACAGTACACCCATCAAATACTTACTGACATGAGACAAGAACACCTACAGTACACCCATCAAATACTTACCAACATGAGACAAGAACACCTACAGTACACCCACCAAATACTTACCGACATGAGACAAGAACACCTACAGTACACCCACCAAATACTTACCGACATGAGACAAGAACACCTACAGTACACCCATCAAATACTTACCGACATAAGACAAGAATACCTACAGTACACCCATCAAATACTTACCGACATGAGACAAGAACACCTACAGTACACCCATCAAATACTTACCGACATGAGACAAGAACACCTACAGTACACCCATCAAATACTTACCAACATGAGACAAGAACACCTACAGTACACCCATCAAATACTTACCGACATGAGACAAGAACACCTACAGTACACCCATCAAATACTTACCGACATAAGACAAGAATACCTACAGTACACCCATCAAATACTTACCGACATGAGACAAGAACACCTACAGTATACCCATCAAATACTTACCGACATGAGACAAGAACACCTACAGTACACCCATCAAATACTTACCGACTGAGACAAGAACACCTACAGTATACCCATCAAATACTTACCGACATGAGACAAGAACACCTACAGTACACCCATCAAATACTTACCGACATGAGACAAGAACACCTACAGTATACCCATCAATTACTTACCAACAATATAGGCTTTTGCTGATGTGACCCCGTTATCCGCCGTACACACGTAGATTCCAGTGTGTGCCTTGAAGTTGGCAGGGCTTATTCCTTTCAGGATCATTTCACCGTCTCCGTAGATCATGTGTGTGCTGTCAGAGATGAAGGGCGGCTGGTCAAGTTTACTCCATGTGATCTTTGGTCGTGGGTCACCACTGGCATTGCATCTGAGTCGTGCGACCCCATTGACGTCCATTGGATCAACCACTACAACCTGGTGGTCCATGCTTATAGCAACTGGAGCTGTGGTAGGATGTGATATTGGGTTACCATTTGCTTATCGCCGCATATCACAATTAACCATTCATAAATGTCGAGTGAATGAGTATGGCTTTACGCCGCTTTTAGCAATATTCCAGCAATATAACGGCGGGGTACACCAGAAATGGGCTTCACACATTGTACCCATGTCGGGATCGAACCCGGGTCTTCAGCGTGACAAGCGAACGCTTTAACCACTAGGCTACCCGACCGCCCCCATAAATGTCGAATGAGACCGCCATGGTCAACTCGGCTCTTGGAGATCGGGAAGGCACGACCATAACATACATGCGTCTGTCGTGTCATTTTTATAGGCGTTAGGTTAAAACAAGTAGAATGTTTGTAAAGAGTTAAATTTGCCATAAGCTGGTTTTATCACCGTTGGTCAGTGACTCCAGACACGTGGCCTACTGACACGCATATGAATAACTAAAATGTCAAAGCGGCAACATCGTAAACTTCATCTCCTCCAACTCGACATGTCGCGCCAAGGAAGCCAGTGTTATGACTATCAGTTAGGAAATATGTGTTGATAAACCCAGTGACAACAAAAACACGATAGTGTTGGCCTCGGTTTTGGAGTGAGTTGGGTTAACGCTACTGTGAAGAGTATTCCAGGTACATCACGGCGTGTCAGCTTAACGTGGCAGGAAAGTCCGAAGTGATGCAGGTCTCAGACGTTTACAACTTTGGTGAAATCCACGAACACGGGTATGGTGCTGATAGACCTAGAAATGTTCGGGACGAACCGGAATTCGTCGCTTGATCATAGGTTTCTGGCGTGCCCATGGGACGCTACTCTGTAAGTTGTACGGTTATGACACTGTGCTCTAATACAGATACTCGATCTGGAATTTCTGGTAGCTCGATACATTACACAACATTGCAACAAAGGTGGTCTGGCCAAACTTACACGTGTTATCAGTGTAAAAGAGAAACAGTTATAAATTATATATTATAGAGAGTTTGAATATTGACACGTATTATTTACTACCTGGTGTCGTGGTTGGTGTTGTTGTCGTAGTTGTAGTAGTAGTAGTAGTTGTTGTTGTCGTGGTAGTAGTAGATGTAGAAGTGGGTGGGATAGCAGTTGTGGTTGTAGTAGGAGTGGTTGTAATGGTGGTTGTGGTTGTAGTTGGAATTGTTGTGGTTGTAGTTGGAATGTTTGTGGTTGTAGTGGTTGTTGTAGTTGTGGTTGTAGTAGGAGTGGTTGTAGTAGTAGTGGTTGTAGTTGGGGGTGTAGATGCAGTGGTTGGTGCGGTCGTAGTCGTAGTTGTAGTAGGTATAAGTGTCGTGATGACTGTTGTAGGTGTTGTTGTTGTAGTTGTCGTGGTAGTGGGCGTCGTCGGGACAGTAGTGGGTGTCGCGAGCACTGTACTCGGAGATGTTCCTGAAATGCACAAATATACGTCAAACACCACAATCAGGAGATGACCAAGAGCGCACGAATATATTGCAGTTCGTGTTTTGCAAAAAACAACCAGTGGCTAGTTTTATTGCTTTAGTTTTATCTATGAAATTGTAGCACGATTACGATAAACAGTAGAGTTTTAATTTACGCTAACCAGTTTCAGACATGTTACGGTAATCTTTTACGACAAAAGATTTAACTCATTTTACGTTTACGACCGTCCAACACCATCAGGACCGTCCTATAATACAGAGATCATATTGCGATATGTATTCACAATCATGCTTATGCTATTCTCGGCCGCGTCATATCAAAAGGCGTTAGAAGATGGTACTTGTTTTAATGCCGAGCGCCAGACAGGGTAACAACAAGGACTGGTCGGCTCGGAGTCAGTATACTGTGTCTGAGTGGGGTATTCATGTTAAACTGCGGCATGGTATCTCAGTGAGCTAGCACTATTAATCGGCATCAGTCCGGACTAACACACACACACACACACACACTAACACACACACACACACTAACACACACACACACACTAACACACGTACATGCACGTCGCTTTATAAGTGCAATAATCTTGGACGCGACGTTAAACCCCATTTCACCTCACCTCATCGGAATAGTGCAGTGGACTGTCCTTTCAGCAGAGATTTCATATGATTATGGAACGTGTTTTGTTGCTTGCATATATATACATGTATTCACTTCGTAAACGAACAGGAACGATGTGTATCCATTCCATAACCTTACACTATGTCATTGCATTTACATGCAAATAATAGGGAGTGTTCTATCTCATAACTCTGAACCATCTTATTATCTCTTCGCCCAGCCCTTACTGTCATACAAAAGCCATAAATGAAGCAAGTCTAGATTATTCTCAGGTTCTGAATCTCCCATCATTTAGGCTCCTTTTCAATTTAAAAGGCGTTGTTTGTTTCTATCAAAATTATATCATTTAAAAAACTAAGCGTTGGTCTTAATAGGGAGTTACGACCTCAGTAATTTCAATCTTGTAATCACAAGTGTTGGTCTGTGTGCTATATAATGCCGCATACAGCAATATTCAAGCTATATCACGCGGTTTGTAAATAATCGAGTCGGGACCAGACAATCCAATGCCTCTCAAGACAAGTGAGTGATAACATGAGCAACAACCCACGCCGCCAGGCTACAAAGACACGCAACCAATCAAGTATCCGTGCCTGGCCACCATACCAGGCGTGTCGTACGACAGGGAGAGGTTTCTGGGGGTTATTCTAACCCTGGCCCCCACGGGATCTAAGTAGTATCTTCAGCATGGTGTACCTGCCGTTGACGATGGAGCAGGGGATGTCGTTGTGGAACTGCCAGGTGACGTGATGCTGGTGACGTTGACGTCAGCGTTACATAAATCTGTATCACAACAGACGCTGTGTTGCTGAGAACAAGACTGGAGAAAACGCGAAATGTGTAAAACACAAATTTTGCAAAGTTATACATTCATTGCTTCATCATTATTTCAATTACCCCGATATTCTAAGAATTAGAACATATTATAAAGCATATTATTAGTATCCTTCAACGAATAACCATATGTTAAAATATAGTCAATATGTTGGCTTAGAATTTTGACATGAACAACAATCGTTTATTTGGTTTTGTCATGAACACCTTGAATACTTCAGAGCGGAGTCATATCTATCCTTAGTTATAAAGAACACATTGCAGTTTCGTCAAAGGTGTCGTACTTCGCATCCCAAAGGCGCGATAATAATAATAATAATAATCATAATCATAATAATAATAATACGTTAGAGTACCCAATTCAACCCAACTCTGACTCTTGATATGTCCTCACGACACCAAGGTTCGTGAGTTTCACCACAGTGATAAACATCGGGTTTTCCTCCCACATTATACAGACACGCTGCGTTAACCTCAATCCACAAACTCTCTCCATGTTAACACGGTAATTGCCCCATGTCATCAATGGCACAGATTCAGAGTATTCCACACACGGACATCTTGCGTCCGGCACCGGTTGTACCACAAAAAAACATATTATTAAATCTAAACATATGTACAGAAAATCTTATTAATTCGCAGCAAATAGTCTGAATGTTTTTAGATGTTGGTCAATGGGTGCAGGACTTGAGTCAAATTCTCCTTGTGAATTTGTTGATAAACTAAAATCGGTGGAGAAATGTTGGGCCTGGAGTAGATTGTAGTGTAGAGGTGGATGACATCTAGTTATTACTACTTACCGTATTCTTAGCACAGCCGAGTTCGTAAAATGTTAGTCCGAACATATTCTTTACATCCACGGAGCATTGCTGGAAACAAAGGAAACCTGTATACCAGAAGTGAGAATGTCAGAACGCGGAGGAGAGACACAGGTGGTGTGGTTACAGATGGCGGGACTAGAGCGCCTGTGTGCAGCTTGTCTGGACTCAACCTGACTCCCCACATGGACAGGGTGACTTACAACCCCTGGTGACCCCCGTCATGCTGACTGCTAACCCGTCATGTATTTCCTGGAATCTAGTTAAAAGGTACGAGTGTGACTTTATCGCCGCTTTTAGCAACATTCTGGCAATATCTTGGGAGGGGAATTCATAAGTGGGTTTTTATGAACGCGCCACCAGGCTACCCCATTAGGCTACCCCACTGCTCCAAAAAGTAGGATCCGTGAGCTAGATACGCTGATGAGATGGTACGTTTTAAAGCTCGTTAAAACTGGGGCTGGGAGTTTAATACAATTCAGGATCTGAGGGTTGACGGCAAACTGATAGGCGAAAAGTAAAAGTTGAACTCACTTCGTCAGCACCACACACGTCAACCTCGTCACATTCATCTGGATGTTGGACTCCAGAGCACTTCATACAAAACTTCGTGCCGGGTTTCTTGATGTCTGCAACACATAACAGCCAAGTCAAGTCCTGTCCTATGTATGCTGCGTGTTGTGAGTGAGTGAGTGAGTGAGTGAGTGACTGAGTGACTGACTGAGTGACTGACTGAGTGACTGACCGAGTGACTGACCGAGTGACTGACCGAGTGACTGACCGAGTGACTGACCGAGTGACTGACCGAGTGACTGACCGAGTGACTGACCGAGTGACTGACCGAGTGACTGACAGAGTGACTGACAGACTGAGTGACTGACTGAGTGAGTGACTGACTGACTGAGTGACTGACTGAGTGACTGACTGAGTGACTGAGTGACTGACTGAGTGACTGACTGACTGACTGACTGACTGAGTGACTGACTGAGTGACTGACTGAGTGACTGACTAGAAATGGGCTTCACACATTTACCCGGGCAACGTAGGAAATTGTGACGAGTGACACTTGAACCACTAGACTACCCATTGCATTGAGTACCATGGATTTGTACAAATAATCAGTTATATCACCCTTTTTACCTTGATGCGGGAGGAAACCCAGTCCTTGAAGACACTCACCTACATAGTACCGACAAACCTGGAGAGGCTTGGGTTTGAACCACCAACCATACGCCTAGTGGTGTCCATTGAATCTACCCATTAATAAGGGCGGTCGGGTAGCCTAGTGGTTAAAGCGTTCGCTCGCCACGCCGAAGACCCGGGTTCGATTCCCGACATTGTGTGAAGCCAATTTCTGGTGTCCCCCGCCGTGATATTGCTGGAATATTGCTAAAAGCGGCGTTAAACCATACTCACTCACCCACTCACTCCCATTAATAAACCATTATATCATACTATCACACTGTACCTATACCGCCGCACAGTTTGGCGTTACAGAAGTCGTCGGTGCAGCATTCTGTGCAGGTGTCTGGCTGGTCCGCTGTGTCCGCTGTGTCCGCTGAACGTCTGGTGGACGGACATTGCTAGATAGGAGATGAACATGAACAGAGAAATTATAATGAACAGTTATATCTTTGCTATAAAAATAATGTTATCAACAAGATACACGCATAAATCCCGGATGGGACCCAAAAAATACTCGAATTTGTACTTTACTTAGAAAGTGTAATCTTAAATGACCACTTTCTAAATGACATTGTGTATTCGTTTCCTAATGTCAACCATTGATGTGTCTCGACCAGACTCAATTATTCACAGGCCGACATGATTTATTAATACAAAGACTGATGCGTCAACCACATTCATTCACTCAAATACAATACACATTATATTTTGTTCCATGTGTGAAATTGACAATGTTCAGTTCAAGAAATGTAGCTAGCAGACACAAGTGTTGCTGGAGGAACCTGAATCCAAATTGCTGCGACTGTCTCTGTGCCCGAGCCAAACCCCCTTTAACTACACAGGACATGATATTCATAATAAAAAATAAACACATTGAACCTATGCCAACTGACGCCATAAAATACAGGACAGGCAACTGTTTGACGTCAGGCTTCAACTAGGTACTTGGTGACAGATGATTCTGGATAGTTTGTTTCTGTAACACATCTTGTGAGTGATGATGTCAAGGTACTCACATCTGTCGACATACACCCCGATCTGTACTGTGTCCCACCATTCAGACCTCCGTGTTCCGCCGTGTAACACTCCTGTAGCAAGACGGAAATATCACCAAAACTGTTCTCTGTTGTCATGGATTCTCAATCACTGCCGAACGTGGATGGACGATGTACAATGTCCACACGGAGATGCACGTGTGTACATGGCATGGTAAGAAGTTTGTGAAATGATACATTTGAAGAAATATTATATTTATATCTATTTCAGCTATTTATTTACATGATGCTATCCCAACATTATTGCCCGCATGGAGGAAAATGTTGAAATGAAAATATAGCAGCGTAGTTCGAGAGATTAATAATTACGTCACCGCTGCTAGTATCAACCCGCTTAATTTATATCCTAGGCAATACAATAGAATCAGTACAGTGGGAGTTTTATGAAGCCCACCAGTAACTTCCTTGATATTGTGTTCAGTCGAACCTATCTTTTACATTTATAATATAAGGGCCACTTCATGAATATTATGATATAACAGTAGTGGGAAGGGTCCCTGTAGGCAACGAAGACCTCCAGTGGGTTTGCTGTACAATCGTTAACTCATACAAACATTTCACGTTTCCTTTGGATTGGTTAATCCTTTTTTTACTAACTGTTTAGGGATTTACGAAATAAAAGATAGAAGAAAATAATGTATCATAAACCAATAAGACAAAAAACTTTGTGAGTGAGTTGAGTTTAACGCCGTTTTTAACAGTATTCCAGTTATATCACGGCGTGTCAGCTTAGTGTGGGAGGAAAGCCCGAAGTGATGCAGGTCTCAGACGACTAACCTAAAAATATAATCAGGGCAAACCGGGATTCGAACCCACAATCAAAGGTTTCTGGCGTGCCCAAGGGACGCAACTATGCACAGCGAATTGCGGCGCCCAAGGCGACTGGGCGACCCGTGTTCCCGACAAAAATGTGAAAAGCAATTGATACCCCATCGTCATCCGCAAGTTTGGAACTAAAGTTTCGTTCCAGACATTTTAACCTCTCATGATAGATACGGTGCTTATATCTGTGTTATGGAATAAATCTAACAGTTCGCCTTATGTGTTTACGATGAAGGAAGAGTACGATGACGCATGTTTCATCAATAAAGCAATATGACTATAAAACTAACTAATCGATGGCTGAACAACCTGCACACAGGCCCATGATATATTCCACAACTGGCGATATATTTATGAATGTGTGAAGCCCATTCCTGGTGTCCCCCGTCGTGACATTGCTGGAATATTGCCCAAAGCGGCTTGACACTTTTCCCCTAAATTAATACAGTTGGATTTGCCCGAAATATGTCCGAATTGTTACGCTTTGTCGTTGTGTGTACATCTGACTGCACTTCGTAATGTTATGACATGATAGGCAGACTCTAAACAAAAGTGACGTCTCATAGGCTAGGGTGAGAGTAGCTTACCTTTGATAGCGAATAATTCGATGGATTGCCGCGAAAATCAAGTAGAAACAATTTGTGTAGGCAATTGTTGTTTTGCCTGTACCTAGGTACGCCACTGCACGGGAAACAGGTTTCATTTAGATTTATATTGAGTGCTGTCACTATCCGACTGACACGTCACTTCCTTCTGATGTAATGTATATTAATGCGCACATTCCAGTTAAACTAGCAATGTTTAGGTAATGTTTCTGGGAGATGGGAAGAGATCACAATGATCGCTAAATACAACGTTTATTCCTAATACAGGATATTTACCATCCCCAAACACACTCGCGTGATAACCTCTATAGACCTGGTGAGGTAGTCCTGTGGCTACAGCAGTGGCTCGTCACAGCAAACGTCCGGGTTCGGTTCCCCATATGATATAATATGACTGTAGCTGAAATATTGCTGATGCGGCGCATACCCCGACTCAGTCACTCACACGCTGGGCTGGGGCTATATGTGCCTGTCTGATGTGCCTACGTGTGCTGGCCTACCTCGTTTGGTCCACACCTGGTGATGAGGCCACAGACAGCTGGCTCGAACACCTTGTCGCACGTGAAACACCAGGGTCCGGGAGCTGACAGACAACACAACACACAGCATGATCTTGAAGAGTTTCAAACACTGCACATAGTAACATTTCAAGCATTGACAAGTCAGGCATTTCGTTTTTACCTTGTTTTTCCACATTCCGTGGATTAGGGATCCGACACCGCTAAACGTAATTTTTGAAAAAAATATAATTATGAGAACAGTCAAACTTTATTGAATCTGAATATGTTATTGTGATTTGGGTAGATAACAACTTTATTGCTCTATGTAAGATTTAGTATGTAGAAATGTGACGAATATTATTTTTCCATTATAGACCAGTGACTATTTGACTGTATTCTGGTTCGAGCATCAGTGGAAATATCAGTACACTACATATCGTACCCGACGGCGTAGTTTTAATAGTCGAGGTAACAGTAGTCGTTGTGGTCGTTGGAGTTGTAGTTGTCGTGGTGGTCGTTGTGGTGGTCGTCACTGTAGTTGAAGAAGTGAGGGAGTGAGTGTGGTTTATCGCCAAGTTGAAGATGACAAGATTATCAATTGAGAATCGAATAACTTACAAAGGGAGAGGACTTAATAACTTCACTGCGTATGAACAGTTTTCTTTCCAAGTATCATATATTTTTCCGACTCCCAAACTTGAAATAAAACATGTCATTCGTCTTGAAATGGAAACGGCTTTCATTCATTATTCAGTTTGATCAATATTTACCAGAACAACTTCAATTTGTTTCTTGGCACATCCTGCTAAACTTGATTGAGTTGTCACGGAAGCATGTGACGTCATCCGTTGTACCTTGACGTCATAGTGAGTGAGTGAGTATGGTTTTACGCCGCTTTTAGCAATATTCCAGCAATATCACGGCGGGGAACACCAGAAATGGGCTTCACACATTGTACCCATATCGGGAATCGAACCCGGGTCTTAGGCGTGACGAGCGAACGCTTTAACCACTAGGCTACCCGACCGCCCCCCTTGACGTCATATCATTTGAGAGTGACGTAATTATCTGTGGGATTTCACGTACAGAGTGACACTTAGGAACATTTGTGATGGTGGCATATTTTACAATATCGATGTGCTCTGATTTGCGGGTGTTATTGAAAATTTGAATCACGGACAATTCATATGGAAACGACGGCGTTTGCCTGTAAAGTTCATCTCCTCCTTAACCATAGGGTGAAATATGTGTAGTTGTTTCCGTTGACAGAACATGCTCATAATGCCAATCATTTCTTACAAACCATCTCATGTTGTGTGTGCAGCGACAACCATCAAGAAGGTTTACCTGGCGTGCTGGGCAGAGATGACGGCGTCTTGGTGATGTTGACGTCAATGTTGCACACGTCTGTGTCACAGCAGGCGCCGTGTTGTTGAGCACACCCCTAGAGAGGAACGGGTGACCACTAGTAGCATAAACATGCACATGTATTTACACTCAAAGACCAAAATCAGCGACATTTACTCCTCGTCAACAAGTTTCAACTATATGTTATGAAGTTACTTTTTTGGTAAGAAATGCAATAAGCGTAAAATTCAAACTTAGAAAACATACATGAGATAGAGTATCTCAACTGCAAAAGAAAGTATATGCACTGGGAAATCGGATTTAACCAACCAATTATGTACAACGTTATCAACCCGCTACAAGGCAGACATCAGGCGCCGAAACACTGCTAATTTAAGGTCAAGAACACAAATATGACACCCGTGAAAATACACCACCATCGAATAACCAGTTCTAGTTAGCTTCAGTTGAGCCACCATTTACATGGCTGTCTATTTCTCATGTCAGATAATTTTGTCAATACTGGGCGTTATTTCGCCAGTTAAGAAATCATTTCCAAACATCAAACATTCATAAAAGTGAGATATGACATTAAAGCATACGTGTTTTATGTTTACGGTAAACTAAGTAGTCAATATCAATAACTACTCAGTAGCCCCTTTCACTTGATCACTTATTTCAGACGACGGTCATCAAGGATCAATAACAGTGCTTCATGTCGACCATGCGCTTGTCTCGTACGGATAACTCGACTTCGTTACGTTGTCCTAGGACTTCACGGTATAACGAGGTTTGTATGTGGTCACTTACCGCTTTCTGAACACAGCCGAGTTTGTAAAATGTTATTCCGAAATGCTTGACTGAGTCCACGGCACATTGCTGTAATGAAAGGAGTTACTCAAATAGTGAGTACAAGTGATTGGTGTGATCAGGAATACAACTTGTATTAATACATGTAAACTACGCCAAATTCCTAATATATGATACGAGCGATACGGACACACATCATATTAATCATATCATAGATTCGGGGCGGGGGTAGCCTTGTTGTTAAAGCGTTCCCTCGTCACGCCAAAAATCCAAGAGGATCGGTTCCTTTGATCAATGCAATGACCAGTAAGTTCATGACCAAGATGTGATATTGATGAGAACATAAGGTGTACACCCACTCATTATAATAAAAATATTGGTTATTGAAATTCCATTAGGGGTGGGGAGTTTATGTTTTCACACGCGGCCATCTGCAGTATTCAAGCTATATCTCGACAGAGTGTAAACGATTGACTCTGGACCACACAAACCAGTGATTGATACCATGAGAGTAACGTCCCACATCGGCGGGGGACAACGACACACAATGAACCAAGCGACCGAGCCTGTTACGTCGATAAACTTAACTGTCCTCTTACATCTACGACAGGTTATTTGGAGACCTTTTCTAAGCCGTCTTCTTACACTGTCACTAAGGGGCCAATAGTTAATAAATAGTTCAGGATAGCCATTGCTGTCAAATGAATGTGACGTGACTCAACATCACGTCTGAGTTGTTGCAAGGAAACATTAACAAAATGAAGTAAAATTGCAGATGATGATTAAAACAAGTTCTATTGTCTAGTTCAAAGTTCAAAGTGAAACTTACTTGGTCAGCACTACACACTTCAACTTCGTCACAATCACCAGGATGTTGGACTCCGTCACACGTCATACACAACGTCATCCCGGGCTGTCTGATGTCTACAACACACAGTTCGCAGTTTGCTTTTTATCAAATGTTCAAGCCCATGACAGACCAGACAAACCAGTGATTGATATCATGAGCACAAATCACCGTGCCACCTGACCATACGATCTTACGACAAGCATACGTTTCGTGGAAACAATTCTAACCGACAATACCGACGGCGAAGAACAGTTTGCAGTAAGCAAATATAGACTGCAATATAAATACAATACATACACATGTTTAGTTGTGTATAAGGTTATATCGCCCTGTTATCCCAATACACTGACAGACAGGGCAAGTTGTCGACCTTCGGGCACGAGTTGTTCAAGTCTGTACAGCCTGCAAGATCCCATGCACCCTGCTGTTGAACCTTGTTTATCATACTATCACACTGTACCTATACCACCGCACAGTTTGGCGTTACAGAAGTCGTCGGTGCAGCATTCTGTGCAGGTGTCTGGCTGGTCCGCTGTGTCCGCTGTGTCCGCTGAACTTCTCGTGGACGGACATTGCTAGATAGGAGATGGACAGAGAGACGTTCGCCATCACATTCACACACAAATACGTTAGCACGTACCACTCATATCAGAAACTATTGCGATAGCTCTTGATATTGCAAGCAACTATTGCGATAAATATCGATAGATTTCAGTTTATCATTTTAGATGGATTTTCCTTTGAATGTGATAACCATAACAACAAATAAAAAGTAAAGTTTGAGATATGACTGATTTGTTTTTTCCTTACTCTAATAATTTAAGAAAAAGAAACTTCCACATTACCATGTATAAATTACTACCATTCATGATTAAAAGAAAAACCAATTTGAACAGCATTTCATGTATTTTATTGATACGGTAAATACAATCGTAACTATCGATATTCCTCATTGAAATCGAAACTATTGATCGGAAAATGATTTAACAATAGATTTATTGACTATAAGTGCTTACCAATAGCAATATATCAATATTTCGATTTATCTTGACACCCCTAGTTACGAGTACAGACATGTTCCATATAAAGCATAGTTAAGTAAGCATGCTGACTATTATAAATATAATCCTTTTCTTGTATGTGCTGCGACTTTCTCAACACTCATGAGTTCGAAACGAAAAATATTTATTTTCATTGGAAAATCATACCCCGCACATGCGGACACCTGCATTCCGACCAATTGCTACTGTGTACGTTACACGTGACATTTTATTAACGGAATTCGTTATTTCGGACACTTGTCAATCCGGAAACCGTAATATCCGGATTCGTGAAGTTTCACTGTGTTTCAATGAAATGAAAGTTTATGGTTGTAATTCATATTTGGTGTTTTGGGTTTCAAGCCTGTTGACTGCTTGATCACAGTTGATATGATTTAGTGTGATTGTGTAAAGATACCGTCAATAACTGTGTGATGACGTCAACTCACATCTTTCGGCTTACAACCTGATGTGTACTGAGTTCCTCCGTTCAGACCCTGGTGGGATCCGGTGTAACACTCCTGCAGCAACAAGACCACAACACATCGCTGCATCTCAAGTCAGTCAGGGTTAAGGCACAACATTCATATTAATACACTATTACAAAATACAATATGCGGATAAAAGTATGACCGAAGATGTGTGCTCATGCATTATAAAGTAACAACCATCCATTCCGGCGATAAAGAATGTTACCTACAATAAGGACAAAATTTACAAAGTGTGCTTTTCAAGAAATACCCATTTTGTACCGATATATTATCATTGATCTCGTGATTTCAATACGGGTAAGGATCGACAGTAAGGTGACTGCGAGCGGTTATAGTCAGCACATAGCAAATTCGCTAGTTACACTTCTTTGGCATGTGCAAATGGCTTTGTTTACAAGACATTAAATGTGTCACTTAATTTTATTAGACAGCTCAATAATTGTGTTTCTTCATTGTTCCTAAGCGGCCTATAGATCTATATAAAAATGTCTATGAACACATGTATTAAGAATTTTCCAAACAATGTCCATAAAACGCAGCAACGGAAACTCTGTGTCTGAGCGTATAGCCCCCATACAACCATAGACTATGTGTTGATATACGTGTCAGTAATATATTGAAGGATCCCGTACACCCTGACCTCTGCTTCTGACACCTATCAGTGATATCATGGCGAATAATGATGTTATAGTGGGCTGACAAGCCAAACAGTCCACCTGAATGTGTTTTCCCCTACTTGTACATGTATAACACAATTATAATGATTTTTGCCACGTAAATAACATTATTTTTCGGGTGAATAACGTATTTTGGACGTTGCTATGTTTCGTCACTGCATGAAGTAGAAATCTTGTAAATGTATGGTTGCCCACCTCGCTTGGTCCACACCTGGTGACGAGACCACAGATGGCCGGTTCAAACACCTTGTCACACGTAAAACACCACGGCCCGGACCCTGACAAACAATTCAAACATCACACTTTCATGTTTGTAAATACATGGACATTTAATTTTACCAACTGCGCCATTGGTTAGCCTTCAAGCATTAACAGATCAAACAGTTCGTGTACTGACAATCTGCAACTCGAACAGCATCACATTAACATACAATCATGTCTCAATTTCATATCTGAATATCTACAGAATCCATTCCACAAACTGGACAGGTTGTTTAATTTTCATGATATCACGGCGTGTCAGTTTAAGCAACATGTGTAGTGTCCATATTACCGTTGCGATGTTGGACTGCACAACAAACCTGACGCTGCGGTAGTTGTGTTACCCGAGGTGGAGTTGGATGACGTATTTGAAGATGTAGATGCGGTAGTCGGTGACGGGTCAGTCGTTGTCACTAGGCTCATGGATGTGCCTACAATATATGAAGAGTGTTTTAAGTCGCTTTGAAAAGTTTGTTGTCGGAGGAAAGTCCGGTGATGCAGGTCTTATATGTTACCACTGTGGTGAAACCCACAAGCACGGGTATGGTGCTGACAAACCGTGAATCATAATCAGATTTGGTTGGTATGTTGTTTTACGCCACACTCAGCAATATTCCAGCTATATGACGGCGGTCTGTAAATAATCGAATCTGGACCAGGCAATCCAGTGATTGATATCATGAACATCGATCCACGCAATTGGGATACGATGACATGCATTAAACCAAGTCAGCGAGCCTGACCACCCGATCCCGTTAGTCGCCTCTTACGATAAGCATAGTCGCCTTTTACAGCAAGCATGGGTTGCTGAAGACCTATTCTAATCCGGATCTTCACGGGTTTCATCATCAGGGAGAATCTGAGAATAGAATCAACGATCATAGAATGTTGACACAGCAAAATGGGACTTAGACGACTAAGACATTCGTGACTTATACACAGCAAATGTTCCGTACAAGTAAACATAGCACAAATTCGTTATAGTGTATATTTATGTACATATTTCTGTAATTCGTTATTTACACAAACATAGGCACAAAGTTCCATGTGTAGGGTAAGACATGTTAATATTATTCTCCATGTTTCCGGTGTCATTCTGTCCGTTGACAGTAAGTGGAAAAGAAAAGAACCATACGTCCACACATTCCAATACATATGATTTTCAGCAAAGTATGCATAGTACTGTCAGTGTGTGGTACCTGGTGGTGATGTCGCAGTGGAGTTGGCAGGTGGAGGTGACGCCTTCATTGTGACGTTGTTGTCAGCGTTACATAAATCCGTGTCACAACACACATTATGCTTCCCAGCACACACCTGAAGAAAGAACAGTTTTTTGCCTGTAACAGGTAACCTGCCATGTGTTTACAACTTTGCAATCAAATGAATTATGTACCCACAATCCTATTACATAGAGAATACTTCACTCATTCTCGTTAGATACCATAGAACGTCCACTCGTTTCGTAAAAACGGTATCTGATGAGAATGAGTGTGGTATTTTATTTATTACCCACGTTAAATATATATTTAAGTGTAAATACATAACAACTTTCGTTCGTTGACAGACCAAACTGAAACCGGTTGCAAAATCTGGTTCCGCATGAATATTGATATATGCCCAAATATGGGCATTGTTGACATTTCGATGCATACGCATTAACAACATGCCCCTTCAGTTGTGTTTGCAAACATAACAGCACCGACGCTCAAGATCCTTTTGGAAGAAATTCTTCAACTTATGGTAATTCAAGCGCTATGCTGTTAGTACGAAGGACACCGATATGAAAATGTGAAAAGTCACATTAGCCCCGCGCTTTGAATATCGGACTTACAGTCGGTCACTGCCGATGTCCCGTCTGTGAAATCAAAATGGTTCGGTTTCCTTGATCTCTCAGTTGAATTTATATCATGTTCGTACCATTTTGGAAGAGGGAATGCAGAGTGTTCGCCAAAGACATTCATGTAAACTGTACCACCCCATACTGAAGACGTGAAAATCAACAAACTCAAGTCTGCTTGCATGTCAGTGACAGCTTCGAACGATCGAAGGGCAAGGTCATCACCGGAATAAGAAAAGACAACCATGAATTAGGCCTACTCACAGCGTTTTACGCTAGAGATAGGGAGTGTTATTGTTCACATTTGGGATGTTTGGGGCCACAAAATCAGCAGTCAGTCACACTTCCACGGAGATTGCGAATGATTTGTATCAGAACTGTTCACTTTTAGTGATCTGGTCGTGCAGTCGTGTACTTTCATTCATGAACAACACCTCCCGAAACAGCGCCACTAAATACGCTTTGAGTGAGTGAGTGAGTATGGTTTTACGCCGCTTTTAGCAATATTCCAACAATATCACGGCGGGGGACACCAGAAATGGGCTTCACACATTGTACCCATGTCGGGAATCGAACCCGGGTCTTCGGCGTGACGAGCGAACGCTTTAACCACTAGGCTACCCGACCGCCCTAAATACGCTTTGAAGGGGACACTGATTGCACAACCGGACCATCCTAAGAAAGTCCAGATAATTTAAACAGACTTCATTTCACCACGCGTACCCTTTTACGTTTAATCAAATTGAAAGTTGCGAAAGTGGCCGGGTGCGTCACGCTCATGGGGACCCTCGCTCTATTGATCTGTAGTCGGACATTGTAAATGCATGTAGCTCGATTATATAATGTTTGTAGAAGCTCTATCCATAACTTATATATAATGCAAATCGAATTTGACGCGTGTGACTATTGTGTTTGGTTTAATAAAGTGTTTGTAAATATCTCTCGTTCTCAACAATTTCCTTAGTTCTGCCTTGTGGTTGCAAAATAAATGACGTCTCACGATCTTTTATGAATGAAAAAAGTAGTCCCGGTGTGACAGAGTTCACGGTTATCCAACCAAAACGAATAAAACAAGGTCAACCTTGTACGACACACGTGTGACGTACGGATTTAGTATCTTACCACCTGCATCTTCACAACGTGGGTAATAAAGTCTAATATTACACACAATATTCAGTTGGATAATATACATGTATTCATGAGACTAAGGTAAAGCTGTGTTTGTTTGGTTGGTTGTTTGCTGTTTATCTAATCTGATCAGTAATATTACTTCACGTTGCTTGTCTCGAACTACCGGCTACCCGATCCAAACTTCAAGTTAACAATAAACTTCTTTGAATGCACACTTACTGTTTTGTCCGCACAGCCGAGTTTGTAAAATGCAATTCCAGATATCCTGTCTGTATCCACGAAACATTGCTGCAACAAAGGCGTTGGACTAGCACAGATCCATCAACATACACCATGGGAAGAAGATGCCGTAACACATATCTATGGAACCCTAGAAGGGACATTGTAGCAATTCCGACACGTCGATTTTACAAACCAAACAAAAAGCGTTTTCAAGGTCATTATGCGTCGCGTTATGGAATACTGAAGCTGAAAGTACATGGTCGTGTTGTCGCAGTACAAAACCAGGAGAAAAGTCACAATAATTAGGAAAGTACTTCAGGGTGACATTCTGACTAATTGTCACGATTTGAATATTTTTGAATAATATTGTTCAGTTTTATAAAAAAATAAAAAATGTGTAAACATTATTAAAGTTTACAATACATGTTTATTATATATCACTCCCAGTGTTGAAAAGTTGTATTTTACAGAATGTAGTTTGTTTTCCCTAACCCCGTGCACAATTCTAAAGTTATACTCTAGACGAGAGGTAGACAAACTTTAAATATAATCCAACGTCAGCTGAATAATAAAGAAAACAGTGACCACTTTCCTATGACTATCTAACGTGAATGTTGAGCTTACTTGGTCGGCATCACACGTGTCAAATGTGTCACAGTCCCCTGGCTTCGCGACTCCATCACACTTCATGCACAGCTTCATCCCGGGCTGTCGTATCTCTACAACACAGAGGGGTGTCATCCTGTGTCGCCGTCCTTCGTATGAGTGGAAGAACACAAGGCCACACACGGAATATTTGTAATTTTGTTTCATTATGGATGACAGCCTCTTTATTCTATACCGTTGTCAAAAAGGATTGTCTACTTTGTCATCCGTTAACTTCTAAGAAATGCCTATTAAACTATTGACAACGGAATGGATTCTCATACCGTTGTCCAAACGAATTGTCTACTTTGTCATCCGTTTACTTCTAAGAAATGCATGTTAAACTATTGACAACGGAATGGATTCTTTTACCGTGGTCAAAAAGAATTGTCTACTTTGTCATCCGTTAACCTCTAAGAAATGCCTATTAAACTACTCATCTCCACACCCGTTTTCATCAACTGTCTGATTGGCACAGGGCGATGAGTAGTCTAGTGGTTAAAGTGCTCGCTCGTCACGCCGAAGACCCGGGTTCGATTTCCAACATGGCTCGGGTACAATACGTGAAGTCCATTACTGGTGTCC